GATGCTCGGCAGCTCTTTGATCCTAGACCACCACAAGCTAGGCGCTGAATTAAAATGCAACAAATGCTGCAGATATTGCAAATAAAGCCATCATCGGACAGACAGCTCATTGTGTCAGGAGACAAAATCTTTGTTTGCTGCGCTACAGAAGCATCGCTCGGCGGTTTGTTCATTCCACCGTGCACGTGTTGAGTCAAAGCGGTGTTTTTCCTCCCGTTTTCCTGAAGCTGAAGAAGCAACTCTTTTGGATGAAGCCTGCCCAGCTGTTTTCTTCTGCATCCATCAAACTTGGAGTAATAAAGCTGCATGCGTATGGGTCGTAAACACAACACTTCCCTCCACGTTTCCTCGGGCGCTGACGTTTTTTCCCCCCATTTCCTTCCTACTTAAAACCCGAGTTTTCGTAAACAATGCGGCCAGGTCTGATTAAATCCGCCAGCAGTGAAGCGCAGAATATGTTAAAGTAATAATCTTCTGCAGAATTTGGCCTGCAGGCCTGAAAAGATGAGGAAGGAGGTTAAATTGTTCACGGTTTACGGCACTACTCGTGCTCTCAGCCCCAGCTTTAGCTCCGCTCTGATGTCCAGCTGCTTCACACAACAGGTTCGTATGTTAAGAGTAACCTGACTTTATCTGAAGCAGCCGTAACCCAGCCAACTCTATACTTTAGTTTCTTATAACATTCCCACTTTCTCTATAAATATTAGCTTTATTGTACAGATGAAATCAAATATTACATTTACACTTTCTGCATTTCTAGATTTTCCTTTTCCTCTCCATCCTTCTCCTTCCATCTTAAAGTTTTTGGGTGGTGTCTTTTCTCTGGAAGGAATAAAAGTCGACACCCTGCTGTATCCCTTATCTCCCTCTCTGTTGCTTAATGTCTCTCCAATACATACACACACACACACACACACACACACACACACACACACACACACACACACACACACACACCTCCCACTGTTGGCGTCTCAGAAAAGAAGCCCTGGCTCATCTTGAGATGAGAGGAGCTACAAGATTTGACTGGCTCCTTCTGATCATGAGTCTTAACGGGAGCCTTTGCGGATGATGAGTGGGAGGAGGAGGAGGTGGTGGCGCTGCCACACGGAGGACAAAAGGACCAAGCAGGGAAAATGATGAAAAGGAAACCGGAGCTCTCGTTGAGGAGAAAAGTGAAGATGAGATGGGCAGTGGATGGGATTTTGGAAAGGGTGCAGATGGCAGCTGTGGTCCTGATGTGAGGATAAAAAAAGGCAAAAGGAAGAATCTCATCTGGGACATGTAAGATGTCAGGGGTAGAGTAGAGCATACCTGAGTGAAGGAGAGGCTTACGCGTTAATGGAGGAGAGCGAGGCAGAGAGAGGAACTTTTTAAAGGGGTGTCAGTGAAGCTATGTTAAAACAGGAGAACATCTTCAAGGGAGAAAGATGGCAGGGGTGAAAGAAACATTCAGTAAGATGACAAGGAGAAGGAGAAGGAATAGGACTGGGATTGACTTCTAAACTGAGACCACTGGTTTGGTCTGTAAGCTGCTGTTCAGAAGAAAAAGTAAAAAGTGACATTTAAAATGTCTTCAGTGTGTCTAATTGTTCCCTGATCAATAAAGCGATGGTCTGTGAGAAGGACCGAGCAGTCAAGGAAAGGTTACAGTCTATAAAGATGCCTCTTTTTTATTTAAGAGGACAACTGGGGGTAAAATTTACCAACATCTAAATCGTGGGGCTCATTGAAGAGGTCAAAGGTAATAAACCTCATCATCGACAAGCTAGAGGAACGCTAGGGATGCACCGATGGATCGGCATTTGATCCCAATCGGCCGATAGCGCCCCTATCGGTTTTGATCGGAGTTTTCAAAATAGATCAAAGCAGACCGATCAGGTAGGGTTGTCACGGTAACTGGTGTAGCGGTAAACCCCGGTAAAAAAGTTGACAATAATAATAACCGTCTTGTTTTAAAAAAAACTATATTATCTCGGTGGATTACCGTGGCTGCGGTGTAGGCGCTGTGACCCTTACCAGCCACCGTATCATCTGCTGAAGTTGCCGGCGGCACATGCGCACTTTGTTGTTTACAACCAAAACTTTCTTGATGCTAAAGCTGAAATAATGGCCAAAGGAGGAGACGGCAGCGCTCAGGACATTTATTATCCCTCAAAGAAGACAAAGTCAGAAGTACTGGCATTTTTTGGATATTTGAAGATTGCCGAGGGACAGTTTATAGAAGACGGCTATCCTGTTTGCAGCACGTGCAGAAAAAGTGTCTGTGAACGACAGCAACGCTTCAAATCTCATGACACATCTGCGTGACCATCACCCACAACTCTACAGTCAACACAAGGCAAGCTAACGTTAGCGTTTTAGCTAAAATGCGTGATCCGAGGATTTGGGTTGAGGGAGAATGCAACGAGTCGCTATATAAAGCAGCCGCAGCGCCGCTACCTGCATATAAACCGTGTCGCGGACACCGCCATGTTGAAATGACGCTATGCATTACGGGACTCCCAGGGGCAGATAAGAGTTGGTCTCTCTCCGAGAATAATTATGAATTTAACAACGATTACTGCCTGATGACATTTTCCCACATCTGCAAAGCTCACTGGAAGGACACAAACCGAGGACGATATTTTCCTGATATAGGGTTTATTACTCAAGTAAGGGTAAAAAAGTATCTGATTAGAAGCTACTTGAGTACTGAGCATCATCTGATCTAATATTTTTAAAATGATGACATCAAACAGACATAAAATAAGAAGTTACACACTTTTTGGCGCTGACCAGTGACATCACTCATTGCTGACGCAGTCGTGAATTACTGACGTCTGCGCCAAGTCCTGTTGGGGCTGAATTTGTTGGGAGACACACTAGCTGAGAGGACCAAGCCATCTTGTCTCCTGGTCAATTCCCCCGCCCCAGATTACCCTGAAGTTGTGCCTAATCAAAGCAAATCCCCCTCCCCCCAGCGTCCAGAAACTATTTTAGCTACTGTGAAGTGCTCTATTAGAGTAAAATGTAAAAAATAAAATAGTTGGTTTCTTGAGTCTAGTTTTCAAATTTTTTTATTTAAGTGTTTCCAGGTTTAACATGTTTATTTTAAAGGCTCATAAATCCTTGAAGAATGGATCTGAAATGAAAGCAGAATGAAATGTAGCTGTGAACCTGAACCCTGAATGCTAATCAGGTGCCTACTGAATGTGTAAATAGGAACATTTCTGGATGAATTAATTGTGATAACACTATAATAATCTCCCTGTTTGACATGATGAGACAAGTTGAAAACCAAAGTAGCCTGAAGTCAATTAATGCAGATTTAAATGGGATTTGTTTTAGTGTTGACAGTAATTAAGGATTCATTCTGCGCGAATTAATGTTTTTTAAATGAGGCTGGAAGTTTTGAGGCAACTCCATTAGACAAGTGTAATTTATATCCTTTAAAGGTCTCAGAAAGTCATCCAGTCATCTGTTGAAAAGGCAAACCAACGTGGCGTAAAGCAGACACGAAGGCACCACGACTGAACACGTTACAGAGTTTGTTCTAGCTCCAGATTGTACAGACTAGTTTCTATGCCAACGCATTTCTCAGGTATAATTATGTTGATGCTGCACATTGTTAGAAGTGACAGTACACCTTTGTGTTTGGTGTCCTACATCCTTTTCAGCTGCTGCGCTCTTCTGGTTCTATCTGCGGCTCGTTGGAGGGGCCGACGGCGCTCAAGTCTGTTCAAAACTGGCTGCTCATTTATCTGGAGCGAGTCTGTAAACTCAGAACCAAGCTAATGCTTCTTCCAGGTGGTTTCTTGGACAACGAAAGAAAAGATGCTTTATGAAATGATTCCAAATGGCAACAAAAGCTGTTGGGTGGGAACGGTGAAACCCTCACTGAATCCGTTTCTGCATCAGATGGACAACCATTGGTTAAAGATATGGTTAAACATAGGGCTGGGCGATGTGGCCTAAAACTAATATCACGATATATTGAGAATTTTACCTCGATAACGATAAATGGATGATAACTACAGGTATGCGCAGAAACAAAGTTGTCCACTAGAGGGGGCTGTCGCGTGCATTACGTTGAGTCACATTTTTACGTGACTCAAGGTGGCGCAGCTTCTTAAAGGGACATGAATGTCTCCAAACTACACACCTATTCATTTTCTCATTATCACATTTATTTACATGGGAAAAATCACGATAAGAGTCAGAAATTTCGATAATGATACATTTTCGATTTATTGCCCAGCCCTGTCGATCTCCCGATCCCTCCTACCCTCACTCGTGAACAAGACCCCGAAATACTTAAACTCCTCCACTTGAGGTAGGACCTCTCTCCCGGCCCGGAGTTGGCAAGCCACTAGGGATGTGTATTTTTGAAATTCTGGCGATACGATACGTATCACGATACAGGGGAGACGATACAATATATCACGATATATTGCGATACATTCAGTCAGACGTTACAAGCAATTTTTTTTTACTGAATTTTTTGTAAGAATGTTCAATAAACAGTCCAAACTGATACGTAACATGTTTAACATGAGGTATCTGAACCATGATGGAGGGATTTACATTTCAATGGTGGAAACAAAACCCGCTGCACACTGCTGCCAACTAGCGGGTGGCGATTGAATTGCGCAAAACGAAAAGAAAATACACAAATGTTTGCATGTAAATTCTTTCAGGAATTAGATACACGGCTTTTGAATATCGATGTAATAATCGCAGGAAAAAATATCACGATATATTGCCATATCGATATTTCCGATACACTGCTTTTGAATATCGATATAATATTGCTGGGGAAAATATCACGATATATTGCCATATCGATATTTTCTTACATCCCTACAAGCCACCCTTTTCCGGTCGAGAACCACGGTCTCAGATTTAGAGGTGCTGTTGGGTGTGTTCAATCCATCTGGACTCCATCGGTAAAATGTAGAGCAGCTGTTGTTAAGAGGACTGAATGGGAAACAATTGGGTTTGAAAGGTGAGGTGTGGAGTGGAACGTAACCAAATTAGAGGTTAGTTTTAAGGTGTTGGGAGAAAAGATGGGGCTGCCACGAACAAAGAGATGGATTTAAATGTGCTGGTTTAGACTAGATGGAAGATTCTTGTTTCAGTCGGGAGGCGAGTGGACGGAGTGAAGGATGGCTGAAATGAACCAAGGAAACAAAAGACTCCAGCGCGGCTGAGCAGGAGATCAGGGAGGTCAGAAAGTAGCAGAAGCAGAGATGAGGAGCAAATTCTGTGAACAAAAGATGGAATCAGAGGTCAGTGAAGGTGAAGGCAAGAAAATTAGAAGGCTAAATTAAAAGTGTGGAGAGACGGAGAGGAGGGGAAGTGATGCATGAAGGGAACGCTTTGCAGGAGGCTCGGCCTTCTTTCATTTTAGCACTTTAGCAGTTTGGACACTGATTCTCCTAGCTTCGTCTTCCCCTGTTGTCTCATCTGTCCTTTTAGTTTCAGCTGGGTGGTTTTTTAGAGGTGCTGTGATTTACCACAACAACAATGTTGTTTCTCTGCTGATTGGAAGAGCTGAGGTTAAAAACAAACCTACTGATCAGTGGTTTTGTTCTCTCTTACATGCCTCTCTGCAGATTTTATCACTGCTTTTTCTTTAACCAACCATTTTATTTTCCTCCACATCTTCTACCCCTAAGCCTGCAGGCCAGTCCCCGGCTCGTTCTCGTTGTCCATTATTGTCAGAGCTAATGAGGACTTTTATAATGAAACGCAGACGGGCCGCTGACAGCGTGTGATTAAGAATTATGGGAGAAACAACATTTTCTTCCACCGATCTAATACCTGCAGGCTGTGAATACGTACAATTATTGCATTAATATGCTTTCTTAGTCTGCACAGGTTTGATTGTAAGGTGGTATTAATGTGTGCATTCTCTGACCGTTAGCATCCGTCTCCTAACTCTCTGTATTTATCTTTTCAAGCCTTTTCAGATGGAATTGCATCAAGAAAAAATGGTAAATGGCCTGTATTTTGATATAGCGCCTTCGAGAGTCCTGGAACCCCCCAAGGCGCTTTACAACACATTCAGTCATTCACCCATTCACACACACATTCACACAGTGGTGGGGATGAGCTACGATGTAGCCACAGCTGCCCTGGGGCACACTGACAGGCGAGGCTGCCGAGCACTGGCACCACCGGTCCCTCCGACCACCACCAGCAGGCAAGGTGGGTTAAGTGTCTTGCCCAAGGACACAACAACAGCGACAGACTGAGCGGGACTCGAACCTGCAACCTTCAGATTACGGGGCAAGCACTTAACTCCTGTGCCACCGTCACCAGATGCACAGCTCTGCTGATCAAGATATTAGCAATACAAGATCTTAAAAGGAGCCATTTTCACTTCCTGCTAAGAGCCTTTCTGCTATTTTCTGTTTTCATAATCAGTTTTTTAAATATTCAAATGACTAATTATGCATAAAACATCAAGATGTAGAGAAAAGATAATGAAGTCTCAGTGTCAGAATACTAAATCTGAAAGATAACCTAACTTTTTCCTCTACCATGCAGATGAACCTCTTCACCTAAGGGTTAGAGAAAACAGCGGAGAGGAGGGTTGGATGGAGGGCCTGGTTAAACAAGATGCAACAAATGAACCATACCCTTATCCAGCAACCTTATCTTAAGCCACCTTCCCATTTGTACCTGACAAAGCTCAGCTATGTTTGGCTTATTCTCTTCGTTTCTTTTTTCCCTACAAGGAATTTTCTGTCGGCTCTAGTTGAAGCATTACTCCGATTCCTTTATCCCTGATCCAGAGAGGAGCTTCTTTGAACTGAAAGCTGTTGTCTTCCTTTACACCGAGACGTGGACCAGCAGACAGGAATGCTCGTACCGTCAGGTCCCTCGTGGCTAATAATAAATGAAGCTACAGCGTCTGTTCACAGAGCTCTGGGTTCTGGAGCCTGCTCGCCTGTTTCCTGTTCTTTTATTGTAATCACTTAATTTAAATTGGTAGTGTTAATTCTAGTAGATTACTTCTGATTATAACGGTGGCCCAACTGGCTCCGCAGGGACGGGCTTATTACTGGGTGGGTCTGGTGTGGGCTGGGAAGTGAACCAGCAACCTTTTTAGTGAAAGGAGAGACCTCCAGTAGCTGTGAGAGTCAGTAGTTACTCAGCTCACTGCGAGGAAACACACCGTACTCTGGTGATGACTGCTAATACCTAAAGGAGTTTGTCTGCTAGCAGGCACACACACTCACACACACACACACACACACACACACGCACACACACGTGTGTGTGTGTTCAGATGAGATTCTGTGTGTTTGCGCATTACGCTGCATTTTTTAATTACTCAGATCAGGGCCAGGGTTTTGCCTCCAGCAGGGAAAGCAGAAGGTGGGAGGTCTGTGGCGTGTTGTTGTTGGCCCACACACACACACACACACACACACACACACACACACTCTGTCTTGCTTTAATAGGGCCACTTATGAGTTTCAAATGAAACTGCCCTCTAACCTGATGTCAGGGGACACACACACTTCAGACTGCTGCTCCCCCCGTCGCTGCTGATGGTCTCACATTTAGAGCTTTGTCTAACACTCACTGCCCGGTATCTAAACCTACAGGGATCGGACGTTTTCCCCCCATGAGCCCCCGTGCCCAGAACTCAAACACACACAGTACTGGGCACGAGGCTAGGCAGGTGTAGAAGACGAGTGCAGCGAGGTAGGGGTGCTTTGTCTGCTCTTCCAGGGCTTTTCAGCTCACAAGCTGGTCGGAGAAGAATGTAATTAGTATTCAGTGTGAGGAGTTCAAAAAGTGCTGGTCAAGCTCTTTAGAGAAGAACACAGAAACGAGGAAAGTCAAATCGCCTTTCTCCCATTTTGTGGTCTCCAGCAGAACCAGCAACAGCGCAGAATTTTAAAACGTCTAGTAGGAAGAAGTAAGCGGCAAAAGAAACGCAGACTCTCTGGACTAAATCCTTCCACTCCGCGCTGACATGGCTCCACGGAAGAGAACCACCAGGCAGCAGAAGAACAACCCGAAGGTCGCGAAGATCGAAGCTTTTCTGCATGACTACGACAGCGAAGTGAAAACCAGGGTGGACCAGCTGCAGGGGCAGTTGGAAGGCCTGCTGAAGGACGTGGACAACCGCTACGACATGGCTCTGATCAAACTATCCAAAGCTGAGCGACAGGCCGTCTGGTTGGAGCACTGCAGTGCTGAAAAACCCAAAACCCCAGAAGTCAGCGACACAAAGAGAGAAGAGGAGGATGCGATCTGCGAGAGCGTCGTTGCCGACGACCACTCCGTCCTGAAATCCATCCAGAAGACGGTGAAGAAGAAAGGTGGAGCCTCCTCAGAAGATGAAAACCTGCTGACCTCAAAGAAGGGGAGAACAAGCAAGAAGCCCCCGTCCTCATCAAAACGATCCAAGGCGGTCAGCAAACAGAGCGCCGTCGTCAGACACTCCAACAGGAAGCCGATGGTCACTCCTGCCAGATCCGTGCTGGACTCCTCCCTAATGATGGGACAGACTCCTCTCATCACCCCACGCTTCGACCCCAGACTTCCTAAAACTCCCGCGGTGAGAGTTCCTCGTCACAAAGAGAAAGTCTACAGCATCTCCGTCAACGGGTCTCCCATCGCAGCGGGAAGTCAGGACATCGTCATCAGCGTTCCTGTGGGGAACGGAGAGAACCTGCAGCTGCTGGCCAGTCAGATGGACTCGGTGGACCTGTCCCTGCTGGACGAGACGGCTCTGAGAAGCATTCGACATCTGCAGAATCGCCTGACGGCTCTGTGTGGGACGGCCGAGTGACTCCATCTGACCTTCCGTGTTCTAGTGTCCGGGTTCTGGAGCGTCCCGAAGTTCTCCTCTTGTCCCTGAAACCTAAGAACATTCAGAACTTTAGTCCTGTAAATATTCACTAGTCCCTGTTTTATGTTCAGTCTGATCCTGTTTTTGGTTTTAGTGGCGCTGATGTTGGTTTGTACTGATTTTTACTGGTTTATACTGGTTCAGACTGGTTTATACTGGTCTGGTCTGGTTTATACTAGTTTATACTGGCCTAAACTGGTCTGGACTGGTTTATACTGGTTCAGACTGGTTTATACTGGTCTGGACTGGTTTATACTGGTTCAGACTGGTTTATACTGGTCTGGACTGGTTTATGCTGGTTCAGACTGGTTTATACTGGTTCAGACTGGTTTATCCTGATTCAGACTGGTTTATACTGGTTCAGACTGGTTTATACTGGTTCAGACTGGTTTATACTGGTTCAGACTGGTTTATACTGGTTCGGACTGGTTTATTGGTAAATTGGTAAAAAGCAACTCAGATATGATAGAAACCAGTAAAACCAGTTGCACCCATCCACTGTCTGATCCAGAATTGGGGTCTCATTTATCAAACATGGTGTAGAATCCTTACTAAAGCCGTACTTAAGCTCAGCAAAAAAAAAAAAGTACTCACGCCAAATAGGTTTGTGATCTATCAGACATGGAGGACACACAGCTGCACGCAATCTCCGCTTCATAAATCAGAAACTATCTAGAATGTTTCTCAGCGGCATTTTAGTCACATCCCACCCTCACCACGCCCACTTACTGCCATAAATGGTCAATGCAAAGTGCCTTGTGGATCTCATGCATATACATAAGCTGGCTGTTGCAGCGCTCCACCAATGACATGGCGACCGTAGATCAAGGCAGATCAAGGATGCGTAATTTCACAGAAGCAGAAGTTGAGGTGCCTGTGGGTGAGGTGGAGAAATGAAAGGAAGTGCTTTTGCAAAACAAATAAGAGAAAATCCACGGAGTGGCTCAGCGTTGCTGAAGCCGTCAATGCCGTGAGTTCTTCAGAGAGATCTGTGGTGGATATAAAAAATGATCCAATCGGGATTCAATCTCCAGACTCCCGGGTGAAAGTCACGTGCGCTAATCAGTCAGCCAAACGGAGATCTCCCTTGTCCAAGTAGCCAGGGTGCATCATCAATCGGGTCACAGTGACAGGACACACACACACACACGCACGCACGCACGCACACACACACACACACACACACACACACACACTGTCACAGACGCATGATGTTCTGTCTCAATCTGTCCCCCTGCTGATATTCTGCATTCCGTATTCTGCGCTTCAGGCTCTGTGTGTGTGTGTGTGTGTGGGGGGGGGGGGGGGGTCTTGTTCTGTGTGAAAACGAAGCGGTACAAGTGATAATGCTGCAGGATTTCATAATTGTATCTTCTCAGCAGCAGCACTGCAGGTGCTCTCCATGTCCAACATGTGTGTAAGCCAGGTCCTTAGTCAACTTAAAGTTGTGCACATTTTTCCGCTACGTGTTCTTTCATAAATCCCAAAGTTTGCATGGAAAGTTGCTTACGCAGTTTTCCGACCCCGTTTTGTGCGTAAGCAGGCTTTATAAATGAGGCCGCAGGACTTTATGGAAAACTTTAATCCACAAAAGAGGATGTTGTGGAAACAAGGCCAGCTGAACAAGTGAAGAACTGGATTGAGTCCAACCTACAGTAGCTAGCATAGCATAGACCCATTTGTTCCGCTAAAGCCTGGAGAATCACCACAGTAGTGAGTCTGCAGGAAACCATGAAGCGTGGTGGAGCTTTCCTTAGTTGTGTTCCACTCAAACCGATTATTACATCTTTAAACTTCAGGGAAAGGTTTATTGACCCCCAAGCCAGAAACGCCAGTAAACAAGGCAATCCGTTGTTGAAGAAGGCAAAAATAAATCCTTTTTCTAAATAAAAGAATTAGCTCCTAATTCTAATAAAACTCAATTCCAAATAGTCCAAATTGATGTAAAAGCCATTTCAAACGAGCTGCCACCATCTTGTTCCACTCCGTCGCATCATCCTGCCCACCAAACTAATAGAGTGCATTGATTGGCCCACAAAGCAGATGGAGCACTGTGATTGGCCAGCCAGAATGCTGCGCAGAGTTTCCAATGGAGCGTTCCTAGACCAAACTTTGCAAAGCAAGAATTTGGTCTAGTTCACAAGGAAACAACCCCACCTTACAGCCAGAAGTCACGAAGAACCATTTTTAGCATAAAGAACATGGATTTCACCCACAGACTAGCTCTCTACACCATCTAGTGGATCTGATATGTTCACCCAGACCAAAGGAGTCGAGCCAGAAACGGCAGTAGATGATCCTTGTTTAGCTCTAGGGATGGGTACCTTTGACATTTGAATCGATTCGGTACTAATTCCTGGTACCTAGGAATCGATACCGGTATTAAAAAACACAATTATGAATTTTAAAATGGTGTGATTTAAAAATGGACACATAAAAAAACATGCATGTTCCGCTGTGAGTGTCCAGAGAACAAAGCTAACTAGTCCTCCTCATCTCTCTGTAGTTGTCAGCCCTCCCTTTGACTCTTGGAGTCTGGGACATTTAGTACTGTCTGCAGGGGCTTAGAGACCAAAAACATCCTAGAGTAAAGGGAGAATGAACACAAAAGTACCGTTTTCTTTCTTTGCTCCTTATCCTAGATGTGAAGCTTCTTTTTGCTTTAGGACTCTTGTTTTAATATTTGATCAAAGAACAAAATACTTCCACCCAGCTTAAACTAGAGCAGATTTTAGCTCAGATAATCTGGTTCATCCGAACCCGAAACAATCTCCTTTCCAGGGACTTGATCTTAGTTCTGGACCTGGAAGTCCTCCAGAGCTCCTCTGGTTCAGTGTCACCTGATTGATAAATCTGTTTGTGTTCTGATTACTGGTGTTATGCTTTATTATGTGTTAAGGAGCATAATTGTGTGTTCAGTCTCAGATAGCTGCAAGCCCACCCCTTTCTTTCTTTCTTTGGGTTAAAGTCAGCTGGTGAAGCACATGGTGTTTTGCTTTGTGAAACCAGTCCATGCGGGTGGAAGTAAAGCAGCAAAGATGATCTTTTTGCCCAGTAACTTTTACTTCCTTTCTTCTTTAAATGTTTCATTTTGCTTTAGCTGTCTTTAGGTCCGAGACCGTGTTCTTGAGTCGGAAAAGGGTTGCCTTCTCCAGGTCAGGGGTGAGGTCCTCCCCCACGTTTTAAGTATCTCACAGTTTCGTTCATGAGTGAGATGTTTGAATGCTTCGCTTGTTACCGTTAGGGATGGGTACCTTTGACATTTGAATCGATTCGGTACTAATTCCCGGTAGCCAGGAATCGATAGCGGTACTTAACGGTACCAATTTTAGATACTTTTGAGTGTTTACTATTTTAATTCTCTTTTATAATTAAATATATATTTTTCTCAATATATAACCATATTTGATAAATATCACAATAAATAACATACAACTGTTTGTATTTTAACATCGTCCTTGTAGTTTTATAAGCTGATAATTAAACTGAAGCAAACATCTTTACTGTGAACTAAATTTACTGTGTATCTTCATTCCTTTTGCCGTCCCTTTTCTTTGATTTTTCCTACTGGGAAGTTAGGATTTCCGAGGAGAAAGCGAACGCACCATTAGCTGATAACAACGGTGGCAATGGAAGCTAACATATCAAGCTAACGTTATCTTAAACAGTTTATTTAGCTGCTGGAGCAGATTAAAACGATGATGCCTCACGCTTAGATCGTTGTCGCTGGTTTCATCTTCACCCAATCACCCGTCGCATTTAGTAAAGTGAAGCCAAACTTTAGAGCTCGTTCATGTTCTTCTAGTCGGAAATTCTGAGTTCCGAGGAGAAAGTGAACGCACCATTAGCGGAACGGAAGCTAACATATCAAGCTAACGTTATCTTAAACATTTTATTTACCTTTCCACGCTGTCGTTCTTTTTTTAAAACACAGAAACAGTTTCGTTACCTGTTTTGTCGCTACGTTTCGTCTACAGTGTGGATAATGCACCCAGTGATGTGCAGCTGGAACTCACTGACCTGCATTCTGATGCAGTACTGGCAGAGCACTTAAAGTCAGGATCTCTGCTGGTTTTCCACTCTTCTCTTAAGGAGGAGAACTTTCCAAACCTGAGGAGACATGCTCAGAAGATGTTGGTTCTCTTCGGCTCTACCTACATTTGTGAACAAGCCTTTTTAATGATGAAGTTTACAAAATCCAGGTATAGATCCTCTCTCACTGATGATCATTGGTCAGCTGTGCTTCGCATCTCCACCTCAGACATTCAACCTGACTCTGATGCTCTCGTTAAAGCCCAGCAGAGACTAGATTTCTCTCACTGAATAAGAAAAAAATTTCTTAAAAACACAAAATATGGTGTTTGGACCACAAATGAAGGCAACTAGCAGTGAACTGGGACACTTTTTTTTAAACCTCTTTCTCAAGATCACAGTTCAGTGATTTTATTTTACAGACAATACTGTGTGTCTGTAGAATGCTAAGAACCTCTTTCCAACAATATTTGAAACTCAAAATGTGTTTTGGAGTGAATGTGACTGAAACTGTTAACTAATATAAGTCACAAATGTTTAACAAAAACCAAATGCGCACTTTGTTTACCATTGCCTTGGGAAATTTGAATAAATCACATGTTTGTAAGCCAACCTCACTTTTTCCTTTTTGCTCATTTATAACATATAGTCTACTCTTACCAGCTTGAAAAAACAATGGTATTTACTGCTTTTTATAAAGAAATACCATTAATATTATGCATAGTTGACTTCAGCCTTTTGGCCTGGCCCTCCACAATATTTTCTGTTTCTCATGTGGCCCCATGGAAAAAAATAATTGCCCACCCCTGGTGTAAACTCTTCTGCTACTGCCATTCCTGGAGCTGGATTATTTTTCTACACCAGCTGTTTACTCCATGGCTCATAAAATAATCATCAGCACTTGACTAAATTATGCTTTACTTTAAAAAAATTTTTTTTTTTACAATCACCTGATAAAACTGTGACAGAATAGTTGGATATGAAATCACCAACATTTCACTACTTTTATCCCCCTCATAACCAGCGTTATGAAGCTGAGGAGAAAGAAATTAGAAATCCAGACGTTCCGTTAGTGATCCGCTAAAGGTCAAGGGACACAATAAGGAAAAGGGCAGGACCAGATAAGTGACTATTTTAGTGGTTTCTTCACCAAGTAAGACCAGTTTCTGTTACCGCTACCAGCTCGCTGTCGGACTGAGTCAAATAATTGTATTCTGCCTGGACAGAATATTCTAGTTGGCAATAGGAATAGCGTTTAGAAGCAACATATTGATTTTGTGATCACTATAGTTTTGATGACCTTTAGATAACTTGATGATGTTTATTCTATTTGTTGTTTAAATTCCTTTGGTCCATGATGCATTAACAGGAAGACACGTATCTATCGTCTGTCAGGTTACAAATCGATTGGAAACTTGTAAACAACTCTTAATGAAGTACCAGGCAGAGCGTAATACTGTGTACCGCAGTATACTTAGAGAAAGGCTTTAATGCTAGTGGAACAATAATAATGCCCAACCCTACTATAAATACATTTGTTTTAGCGCGTATGTATTTAGTAGCTTTTAGGTGTTTTTGTATACTGGAAACTGTTGGTTGCATTGTGTGGGTTAAAACCAGTGCAGTAATTCAGTGTCCTACTTCAGATTCAAGACTGCATTTGTGTTTAAAGAAACACCCCACTGAGAAAGGATTGTGTGTTATTATGAAGCACTGAGCACTCGATTAGGGCTCAGATCAAAAAGAAGGCTTTTTCTCTCATGTATGGTGAAAATGATTGAGTGTGACCAATTCAGACACGACCTTTGATTCGTTCTGTGATTTTCCCACTTCCACCATTCCAAGGCTCACATACAGTGGTGGTATATTAGTAATAATGCAGCTCGTTTGGGGTGATTCCTTGTTCTCAATCACGAAAGGTTTCAAACCTGATTTTCATGAATTTGTTGGAAAGTCGGACATTTTTGTGTTATTCCTCTTCTTTGTTCATTTAGCACGAAAAACCTTAATAGGCTGTTATTTTATTGTTGTTGCTGATTGATTTGTTTCTGTTTGGACCTGAGATGGTCCAGCCACCTGTCCCCGCCTCTTTCCTGCTGGAGTTTGACACCAGCTCGCCACAAATCTAATGAAGAAGTGGTTTAGGTTGCTGATTTAGGAATTTTAAACCAAATTAACGAAGGCACCACATTTCTGGACATTGGTTTGATCTGTGACAGGTCTGAATTAGGGCTGGGCGATATATCGATATTTTTAAACAAGATATAAGATGACTTTATATCTTTCTATCGATATAACTGGTCAAACTGCAATGCTAGCGATTAGCTGCTATGCTAGCGACATGTTGCTCCGTCTCTAAGCGGTTATTACGTGTATTCTCACAAGTTTGCTCAGTCTGAGAGCCTCTGGATAAATGTGCTGCTGGAATCTTTGCATTTGGCTTCCTGGTTTGTAATTATTTGGGGACATTCAACGCCAACGGCGTTCTGTTTTCCATCCTTCTTGTGTAGAGAGACGAGCCAAACCCCTCCCTCCCCCTCCCTCCGCTGTGTAATCAGGAACATCTACGGATAGCCGGAGTGGCCAAATCACCTCAAACATATTGTAAGGGTTTGAATACTAAACTATAGGGTAAACGCTTTATTTTGAAGGTGAGCTCAACGGGTGAGAAATATTGTTCCGTTCCGTTTTTTTTCCCGCTCTGGTTAGCTATGCTAGTACATACTCGGTGTTTAAACATCAGATGTGGTCTGAAAATAAACGAGAGTAAACTAGAAAATGAGGAATTTCTGTGATGGAGTTTATTTCGGAAGCCTGTTGTGTTTGCTCTCATCGTTTTTGTTATGTAAGCTTCTAATGAATCCATCTATGACGAGTACACTAACCTTTTTCCTTGTTTTGTGCAACATTAAGGACGATTGGACTGTAGTTTGGCTCCACTCTGGAAAATGGTCAGATCAGTTCAGCTCCAGATGAAACCACTAGTGTTTATGTGTAAATGCTGTTGTTGCTGCCAAATTCAAATAGATCATCTTTGAGGTTTTTATCCGGTTGTTTACAAAACTACACAGCAAAGCATCATTTGATGTTTTTTATGTACATTTTTCAAATGAACACATACGCTGTGTAAAAAGTACATTTAAAACCAACCAAACACACAAACGTATCACACAGCTTAGTCTTTATGGTAACCAGTCACTCTTTGTTCCATACATGTAATTTATTTTTCATATCAAGTCCAGAGAACAATATTGACTTTGGCAAACTGAAACAAACAGAAAGAAAACAACAATAATGGGTAAAAGTAGCCATTATAAATCTAATTGGCTGTTTTTATAGGCGCCCCTTTGTGTGTGGGGATGTTTGTTCTTCTGTGTCCTTTCAGCTTCATAATTCTTCAAGTTTTAACATTTTTGCTTTGATCAGGATTCATCATTTTAGTAAGGAACAAACAGAAATCACACATCTTAGATTTTGCATCTGATCCCAACATCGTTCCCCAGAAAACTTTAAAGAACGGAAACGTGGTGCAACAAGTAACATTTTATATATAGACCATATATATGTACCTTCTCCTGAATGTTTACGTGTCTGAGTCTCTGACGTCCGTAATGGTTTTCTGATGATGGTTTTTATTGTTGGTGACTTCCTTAATGATTTTTGATGCCCTCTCTCTGACACTCGTCAGTTTGGTTTGAACATTTGAACCCATGTGGCACAAAGAAATCTAAAGTCTCACAAAAAGAGCTTCCTGACTCTGACCATGCCGTTACTAAATATCTGCTCATACTGGCTACCGTTCAACATTGCACATGTGCTCCACTTCAGCCAAACCACCCTGTCTTCTCCTGTTTTCCATCACATGTCCAGAACTCACTGCACAACCCTGTTAGGGTCCGACTGGGTTGGCCATCACAAACATTCAGATACACATCCAGTCTATGCTCCATCAGCTCCCATTAGCATTATTCATTGGCGTCCATTATCCAACATGCAGTGTGATCTTGTCTTTCAGAAATAGATGGGCTTATATATTCCATCACGGCCTCCTCTCCATTTTATAATCCATATCGACTCGAATGCGACCCCAATATTTTTCTTGTAATAACGTCCGTGCTCCATTTGCTTTTTTTCTTTCTCCAGCCTGTATTGATCGATCGTGTCCGGTGCGCCAGCGTTTGTATTTATACTCCCATAATCCTCAGGCACAGCTGGCCAAAATCCTGGTCCAGACACAGAGGAGACATGCGTCACATTCATTGCATTTGAGACTCGAGTGTTTCGAAGCGGTCACGGGGTCAAAGTCAAAAGCTTAAATAAAGTCTTGCTTTTCCATCCAAACATATTTTTTTCTCACCGTTTTGTGAAGGTTTACTCCATTATTACCAGTGGCGATGTGGTTTTTGATCCAGGATCAGTCCTGATGATGGCGTGTTGTTGGCCGAGTGGTTCTGTTTTGTACGGGCTTTACTGAGATCCGGGCTGAGCTCCGACTCTGCCATGTAACCTTTGTTCTGATGCCTTATTCATGGTCTCTTTCCTTTATCTCTTGTGACTACAATCCACCTAGAATGAAGGTATCTGCTTTTGTCTGAGTTTTAATTTACTTTTCTATCTTTTTTCTGTGCTTATAACTAAACCTGAATTGGGAATTTCACTTATAGTTTCTTTTTTTTTAGTCCTGCTTTTTCTGGACTTTCCCAAATGTGCCAGGTTGACACCTCTACTTCATTCTGAAGTATCTTTGCTGCCGTTTTATTCTCAGCCTCTTTAGTTTCACCTCTGCGTTCCTTCCTCAGTCAATATCTCCCATCCAGACCATCCGCTCAGAGCTCTTCGTTCCGCTGTTAGTATTCTGCTCCACACCTACTACACAACACTTTCCTCTAGATTCTCAGCGCTGCCCTTCTCTCTGTTCCTGTCTTTTGTTTTCCCAGTTGTAATCCCAGTGTTTGAGTTGGAGTTAGTGGTGTTGTAAGCATGGATGTATCCCCGTTGGAAGTCCTGGCCCCCAAAGCCCCCGCCGCGCTCCGCCTCGTCGCTGGTCGTTGAAGTTGTGCTTGTGGTCGAAGCGCACTGCACCAGCATCCCGTGAAGCGACTGGCTCCGTCTCGTCCAGATCACGCTCAGCCGCTTGGCGTAATTTACAGCGCCGTAGCGCCTGGCAACTGTTGCTGCCGCATCGGTTGCCAGGGCAACAGAGGAACCCATGTCCAGTGAGTGTCGCCGTTTGCCAACTGTCCCACAGGCGGAGCTTAGAGGGGATCCAGGGCTCTGATAAGCCTGGGAGGAGTTCCATTTGTCCCTACCTCTGGGTGTGATTCTCCAGTCCAGCAGCTCGGAGTCTCTCAGGGGTGCAGCCAGAGAAAAACTGGCTCGATTTGTCAGTTCTTGCTCCAGACGGGGATTTGGGCGGTCCCTGGTATGTGACTGTCGGGGCAGTGTGGATGGAGGAGAAGGGGAGTAGTAAAGAGGAGTTCGGTCACTCTCTAGGTTTTGCGGCAATGCCTTTCTTTGTCTGACTACCAATGCCATCTCACTTCCTGACCCCGTTGTTGTGGAAACCACCCCTCCTGCTGAGAGAAACTGCTCCAGATTGACCTTGGGCTTTGGCCTGGGCTTTGGGGGCAACTTTGGAGGCAGAGGAGAAGCAGAATCTCCTGCATCTTTCTCCTTGTCCTTATCTTTCCCCGCCTCCCCTCTTTTGGAGGGCAGCCCATTGGGCAGGACCACCATCATCACGTCTCCAGAACCATTTGATTGATAGCAGCCACCGCCGTTCCCCCCTTTGTCGCCACCTCCCACTCCTCCACCCTGACAACAGGCCCCACCTCCTGCCTCTGTGTTGCCACTGTGGCATATCATGTGGTCTCCATGATTGCAGACGCGGTGGCGAACCATGAGCGCCACGGTAAACACGAGCAGAGTGACCACAACAACACCGCCAACCAGTATGGTGAGTGTCCCGCCCAAGAAGTGGGCTTGAAGAGAGCGGCACGCTGGGTAAACATCCTTGGTGGAGAACGTTGTACAGCCTAGGATTTTTGTTGCTGCTAACGATGTGAGTGAGTCATCAAAGATGGCCAGCACACAAAGGTTATAGTCCACACCCGAAACCAGGTTCTTCAACAGGAAACGGTCACTGGTGGAAGGCAGGATCCTAAAAGAGACAGAGAAAAGTTCTGGTTAGTTACTCTACACTGAGGTGTACACAGAGCTAAATGGGTAGTACGTTGTAGCGAGGCCTACGTTTTTAGACTACTCTCACTGTGGATCTCAGAGATTCCGATGAAGCGGAGGAAATGGTGAGTGAAAGGATGGTTGGCTAGAAAAAGCACAGGATGGGTACTGAAGGAGGGGGAGGGAGGAAAATGAGGCTATTGATGAGGAGTGCACCAAGGAGACGTTAAAAGAGAAGTCTGTCTGCTCATTTAGAGAGCAGTTGGTGTGTATAAAGAATGTGTGATCATTCTCAAACCCCTGCAGGAGATCGGCATGACACCGTTTTCTCCACCATGTAAAGGTGGCCATTTTAGATGGGATGTTAAGGGTTTGGATTCTGACAGAGATAAAAATAAAAAAAGGAAATCAAATCTAAACTTTGCTGTGGGTTTGATTGCGGGTGGTTTTGTCAGTAATCAGTGCTCGTGTGGGATAATGAAGGGAGGAGTGTGTTAAATGTGTCCTCATTGTAAGTGTTTCAGCAGCTGTTAGGACACACAAGTAGGGAAGAGGTGAACTACGTCAGAAGAGGGTGTAACAATAAAAGGTGATGAGAAAACCGTTAGCCTCAGTGGGTGAATCTTTCTGTGTATTCTGTTTAATATGAGGGTTTTTGATGATGCCCATCTCGAGTGTTTGATTGGTTTGTGTTTGTGCTTTGCTGCTTCAGCCCTCACATGTGCGGTAGATTTATTTGTGTGTTTTTGAGTTTTTCCCCCTCCTCTGCAGGAGAAAAGCTTATCTGTTTAAGTATTTCTAGCCACTCTGCTCCCCTCAGACTTGAAATGCCATCACGGATGACTCAGACATCCAGGGAGCTTCTCCTCAATGCTCCCCGACCTAACTCTGTTTAAAATGCATCCAAAATAAAGACACCGAGGTCTACGGCTCTTTTCCTTCGGCTTGAAATGGGGTGTAATTACTGTCACATAATCAAGTTTTACAAATGAAACGTCCTGATTGACAAATCTCATGCATATTTATGGCGGTGTTGATGGGATGGTGGGATTAGATGTTTAATAATGCACAGTTAGCTGGGAAATCAGAGGCACCTACTTTCAGGCAAGCTGCAGGGCAGACCCATAGATTTTTAGTCATGGTATTTCTGAGTCAGACTATCGATTACAGCCTTTCACGGACTTCTCAAGGCTTAAAAGTTAAGAAAACTGGCAGTTTCTGACCCGATACCCAGGATAGCAACTCTAGTGCACAATGCCGAAGAACATATTTCTGTGCATTCTAACAGAAAAAGTAATTAGGACACATATTCTCTTTCAGATCATCCTTAATCAGTGGTCATTATGTTTCCATAGACTGTATTTTGTACAGACTTTTGCCCGTTAACCTCTGTGTCAGCAGTAAGTTGATTGTTACCATGGCAAAATCTCATTATTGGGCTCAACAGTGCAGTCGCTTTAGAAAAGGTAATATCCAAACTTGAACTCTATATTACCTCTGAACTTTTATGTATTTGCTTACCCAAGTATTAGCAACATTTCCATAAAAATGATTATGCTGAATCTGTTTAAATGTTAAAACTCACAATACCAGAACAAAATCGCCGATTTAAAATGTTTAAGTTGGCGTGATACACCCATTTGTTTTAATTTCTAGATTAATCCAAATTTCATTCAGGTGACTTTGGTTTTCAAATGGTGATCAACCCCTCCTTGGTAGTTTAAGCTTTCTTTTAGCACCCCCTAGTGTCCGTTATTAATTCAATGTCGTAAAATCAAAACTCTCTCTTTGCTGTGTGTTTGTCTTTTTAACACCTTAATCTAATAACTCAGTTGTCTCCTCCATCTTCATCAGTGTCTACAGGAGTGATGCATCACCAAATCAAACCGATAAGCCGTGTTCACGATCTAAAACATGCAGGAAACGTGCGGGAAGCACACTAGAGCGCTAGCATGTCAGTCCCACTTTACTGTTGACTAACAGGGACCGGTCTGGATACTCTGAAGTTGCAAGTGCCGTATTCTCGCCACCGTGGGCAGTGACATTTTATTAATCCTTGAAAGGGTCATTTTAGCACATACTGACGCAGGGAAATTATTTCAGAATATGAAAAAGTGTTCTGTTGTGCCTCTAAAGCAGAGGCCCACAGCTAAGAGTAAATTGCATTTCTCACACAAAGTCAACCCATGGACGTATATTCTAATCCAGGGGTAGGCAACCCTGGTCCTAGAGAGCCGCAGTCCTGCATGTTTTCCAGCCACGCACAAACTTGCAGCATCTAATTGGCTGAACACACCTGACCCAGGTAATCAACAGCAGGAACAATAAAGATAGTTGGAAAACAAGCAGGCTCTCTAGGACCAAGGTTGCCTACCCCTGGTCTAATCTGTCGGCTTTGGCAACACAAAATAAAAGACTCAAGGCCAATCAGTCACACCTCAGGATTGTGCAGCCCAGTGGTCATAACTGTGGTCGTTCAATCAGATTTGCAGCAGGAAATCTAGAAGTCAGAACTCAGAAGGCTGCCTGTGTCTGAGCAGACACCCTTGGTCGTGTTCTAAGACCAGAAAAAACATTGGTAATATGACAGTGGTATCTGAGCCAGTACGAGTCTATACGGGTACTCTTAGGCAGATACCACCCAACATAACCATGATGTTGTGAGCTGTATTGTAATAACCAGGACTATTGTTGATTTTTTTCTCACATTTATGAAAAAGCATACTGATGGTTTTGTTCATCTTATGATCCATTCCTTCCATGCGTTGTGCTTGAGAGTAATAAAGCGCACGTGTTGCATGCATTATTGGAGGCGAGGGGAAATGGCATTAATAGATTGGTATTCATGCATGATTTTTCTTACCACACTGGTACGGGGCTGCATCTTATGACTTATTTTGATTAGCATGAATATTCAGGGCAGTTTGCTGTTCATGCAATAATAAACCGGAGCATCAGTAGGTCTTCAGTGTTGAAATGTTTAAGTTGTTTTATGGTATTAAATCACGTTCTCATATTCTCTAGCCCATCCCGTGCTTTTTGCACATGCATATTGGAGAGTTTGTTTATTGTGTGATGCATGAGTGGAAAGGTAGAGCTGTCTGACGCTTTCTATAGAAACTATTCTGAGACAGACTTTCCTACTATGGGGGGGTGGGGGTGGGGTGGGGGGGGGTGGGGGGGGCTAGTGCATAACTGGTATTGTGGTAACTCCTGCCCATCAAGCAGAAATGTCTGCTGCTGTCTGTACATAGCAGGTATATAATAGGGCTGCACAATATATTGTAAATATATCGTTATCGTGATATTAGCATGAACAATATGCATATCGCAAAGAACAGATAAATATCGCAATGAATGGTCAGCTCAAATGTTTGCTACACATGATGCATTCTGTCAATCAAACAAAGTATCATGTTTTTTTTAACAAATCAAATAGAGCTCTTCATTCATTTGGCCAATCGGGTGGGTTCTCATAGGTCAGAGTCCCGCCCCCGAGGCGAACGGCACATAATTTAGATGGTTAGCAAACACCTGAGTTAGCCTTTTCTTGTTTGTTTTTCTTTTTCCCTTTCCTCCCATTTTTTAGCTTTTCTCATTGTTTCTTTGATTTTTGTTCCTGAGTGAAGTTTTTATTTATCGCAAGTAATATCGTCATCGCAATATTAATCATTGTCATAGAATATCGCAGGTTTTCCTAATATCGTGCAGCCCTAGTATACAACATAAGTCACAACATTAGTAAATTAGCAGCAACTGATCTTTTTTACTTAGGTTTATATGAAATCATTTTTATATCGGCTCCATGTGACTTAAATGTCAGTACTTTTTACACAGCAGCAAATTTCTGTACAAAGAACAAAATATAAAATCTTCGTATGTTATCCGACTGACTGTGCAGTAATAAACTAGTGAGCTAAGAGCACTATTGCAGCACATATACTTTAGCCCTTTGTACAAGACACACCAAGCTGGCAAATCAGCGTAAAATTACGCTGCATGACGTTGCGTGAATTTTGCGGCATTTGTTCTGCCCCACTTGGTAGTAATGTTGCAGTAATGGTCTTTCTTATTAACGGCTATTGCGCCATGGTGCAACAGCGCAAGGTGTCACGATGATGTGGGGAGTTGATGTCAAGCTCTGGCTGACAAATATGTTGACAATAAATTAAATACGGGCAATAAGTTTTGCTTTTTGAACAAAATCAGCTGAGACAGAGCTCCATGAGTGTCTCTCTGTTAGAGCTGAAGCTCAGATCATCAGAGACTGCACAGGGGCTGATGGGGACTGATACCTTTAGGAGCAGCTTGTTAAAAAAACTTCACGATCGTGGCCTCAATCGCGTCAAAAAGCTTGTTATGTCCATGATAAACGGAAGTCTGCGGCATCGTAAAGACCGCCCCCATACCCCCTTCATGCCACCATCGCCTAATCTTTTATAAAAAGGACACAATTGCACCACATTACCGCCACGGTCTGACGACTTATAAACGACGTAAGGGTAATTAGCTTGCATTTGATATAGCGCCTTCTAGTGTCCTGGAACCCCCCAAGGTGCTTTACAATACAATCAGCCATTCACAAACACACACACACACCCTGGTGGTGATGAACTACAATGTAGCCACAGCTGCCCTGGGCAGGCAAGGGGGGTTTAGTGTCTTGCCGGCGACAGACTGTGTGGGGCTCGAACTTGCAACCTTCTCCAGGTATCCGCAGATCCTTAAAAAGTCTTAAATTAGCTTTTCCAAATTTAAGGCCTTAAAAATCCTTAAAAATGACAAATAATCCTTAAAGTTTCCAAAGGTCTTAAATTTTCAACGACCCAATAAACAAGATTCTTTTATTTCTATAAAGTGTTTATGAATTTCTACTTAGTGTTCAGCATTTTTTGTGTACGACATTGGCATAAGCGGAACCGTACACATTCAGTTGGTTGTGAAAGGGGGCTATTTTTAGATGAGCACATTAGCTGGTTA